CTTTTATGTGAGTGCTCATGTGTGAATTCAGACATTTAAAATCCAGTTCCTGATAGGGTAGTACTTTAAGCACCATCAGGGATTTTAATTCTACTAAATCTTTACCATTTATCCTAGCTGTTCAAACTAAAAAAAAAAATCTAGGCTTTACAGATTAAATTAAATCCGATCTAACCTCCACAATTGGGGCATAGGCTACTAATTATTCAAATAAGAAAATCTTTAATGTACCTACCTTTCTACTCATGAAGATATAGATGACTGGATTATAAGCAGTGCTTGACTTGGCAAAGAAAGATGGGATGATAGCTACTGTTGGAGTTACAAGGTTGCTATAGCCGTATGTTACCAGAAGGGAGACCACTGCATAGGGCATCCAACAAATAAGGAACGTGGAGATCATTAAGAAACACATTTTAGCCACCTTCTTTTCATATTTTAGAAGTCTGATCACTTGAACAGTCTGGAAATCTTCCACACAGCGAAGCTGTAGAAGAAAGAGATAACATGGTAAAGTAAAATATCTCTCTGTTTTACTTGAAACTGAATACTTCTAAGTTTATTTGTAAGTAACTAATTTGCCAATTTAGTTTTAGGCACAGACACTATACACCTTATCTCGTGAACGATAATTCTTCTGGAAGTTTACATCATGCTTCCCAGACTTTTACTGATTATATTAAATGTAAAAATACGATCCGAGGAGAAACAGAATAGCAAATCTACTGGAAAACAAATAAGCCACTGATGTAACAAAACATGCTGCACGTATAAGTATCTTAGAAAACCAACTTGCCCTCATCCACTGGCATAAGCAAGTTCAGTTCACATTTAGTGGTCCTTTGACTAGTTAGACAATAATTTAGATTTGTCTCATCAGCAATCTTTAGAGAGAAGAAAATTTCATGAATAGATTTCTCTGTACTGCTCTGCCACTTAGTTTGTTACCCTGAAATTATGAAATCTCTATTTAAAGCAGAATACTAGGCAGCAGGTTCCCAGTGTCATGTGAGTGCATCATAAAACGAGGAAAAGAGAACGCGAGCATTCTCTGTAACAGTGATCAGTGCCAATATTGATTGTGCCAATACTGTTGACCACAAACTTGAATGGGCCTAGACTACTTACCCACAGAATACGAAACATTAACACTTTCTGACACTAAAGATCTGAATTAAAATGGGTTGCCTTAACATGGAATTAAGGCAACCCATTTTAACAGGGCTTAATCTCCACTTGGAAGAGTTTTACAGGGTTATCTTCTCAAGAGTTGCAAAGAGGAGAGAGGGAGTTCCTTAATCAGAAGAACTGCAGAGAAAGTCTTCTTTTCCGCGTTTCAAGGAGGATCTGATGTGGATTAGTGAGCATAAGCAGTTCCCTAACCTGCCTCCCAGTAAAACTACACAACAAATAGATCTTGGTAGCTCTAGATTGGTTCTCCTCCAACCTTACATCCTTTCTAGTGGTCCCTGACGTGGATGAACATTAAACATTCAAAAGTTTGAATAGGAAGTGAGAGTGCAAATTTAGGCTCTGATCCAAGCTTAATATATAGCATCAGCAATTTTCACTGAAAATATTACATTAAGAGAAGTCTTATTTGAATCAACTTACCATTCTTACTGCATATAGAATATGGCCATAGCAATAGGCCATGATCCCAACAGGTGCTACTAGACAGCTAAGGAAAAAAAGGAGCACAAAGGATGTATCATTGGGGTCTTTTGACTTCCAGTCCACTGAGCAACCTAATCCATGAATTTCCAGTGTGTATCTGTTCCAGCCCAAAAGAGGTGCTCCAGTCCAGGCTAATGAATAGAGCCAGATGTACGTGATAGCCCGCCAAGACCACGAGAAGTCAATCACTTTTGCATGGACTACTCGAATGTAGCGTTCATAGGCAAGAACAGTGAGAGTCATAATTGAAACAATTCCTGTAAGAAAAAGAAAAGAAAATCTATTAAATCATTCACAAACATTGCAAATTGGATGGAAGTCCTCTTGACAAATGTTTCCTTTGCTAGCAGTTAACTCAAAATCAGCTAGCTCATATTATGAACCTAACACCAATAAGCTTTTTGGGTCACACCCCACTACTCACTAACTACTAGCTCAAACAGTATCACTAACTTCAGAACTACTCAGCGTAAGGTGCTGGAATCTGACCCATGATATCCTACTTCTTGGCCATCATACAAGAGAAAAAGAAACCAACCTAATACTTTTTCCTAAACGTTACTTCATTAAGCAAGAGATTGTGCTACAAGGGGGTTTTTTTGTTGGCAATTGTGGGTTTTTTGGTTGTTTGGGGGTTTGGGGTTTTTTTTTTGGGGGGGAAGGGTGTCTAAGGGTTTGGTTTTTGTTTGTTTTTAAAGAAAAAGCTGCTATATAAAATAATTAGCAATAACAAAATGTGTTAGAAACCTAGGGAATTCAGAGTTGAGACTGAAGTCAAAGAAAGCCTTCAACAACTGAAAGCATAAAATGCACCTTTAATGTGAACAAAATTACTAGGAGAATTCCAACTTCTTTCAAGATTTCCTGTAAGTCTTTGTGTTCCAAAGAACAACCAGGAAAGCAAAATGTTATGTTGCTGAAGGAGTCCCATTTGGAAGACATCAGGTTATATTGAGTGGCCTCTCCTACCTTGCTGCTATCATAAAAATATCATAGTCTTCATTTTAATTATTTGTGTACTCTCTTCCTTTTGTGTCCACCTCAACCCCACTACATACTTATTAACGTGTTATGACAGAAATCACAGATTATTTTCAGCTTTCAGCATTGCCCTGTCCAGACACTTTTATAGTTTAATGAAGTCAAGGAAAAAGTCAAGGCAATTCTGTCTTTATTAGAATATAAGGATTTCTGTCTCAGTGGTCTGTGAAATTTAATAATCAAGACCCAATCTGCTCATCATGCCTATGTCAGTCACCTGAAATCTATTACAGTTCAGTCATCAAGCTCATATACGCAGCCTCTTAAACAACACAAAAGGGTGTATTTCACAGCACTCTGAAATTATACAAATATCTGTGTCTAAATTGTGTACATTTTATCTAATAAGAAGCACAGGTATTTTGTCATGCATACACACAGCATTTCATTTCTTCAAGCACATTCATGTTTGGCATAACATGCATTTATACAGCTGTGAGAAGGTTAAACATGCAGATTTCACTGCCAAAAAGAGAATAACCATTATATCCAGCAGAAACCTTCAAAGCATATCGCAGATATCTGATCTCGCTTTGAAAAAAAGGATAAGCATTTAAGGAAGACAAATTAATAATAGTATGCTCAATCACCAGCAATATGGATTTTAGGAAGGCAACTAAGAATAACAAAATCTAGATAAACACATAGCCTCTGTGTCAAGGCACTGATCAGCAAAACCAGCATATTATTAACCGAGTATCTCACAGAAGGATATGCTTTAAGATCTCTCTAAGAAAGTTACTTTATCCTGCAAGTATTAGAGGATCCCTTTTTACAGGTGATGAGTTTAGAAAGCTTTCTTGATTAACAGGAAGGTTTTCCCACTCTAAAGGAAAACATGCCACATTCTTGTCATGGCTGTCTTTGAAATGAAACAATGGACTTTTTTTTTTTAAATATGTACATTTTTTTGCCAGTGCTATCTTTAAACCTTCATCACAAAGAAGCAGATACTGCTGGACATGCAGAAGGCAAGGGAGACTGCTTTCACAGTTAGTTTTGTATAGTTTTGAGGGTTTTCTTCTTGTATAAGTCATTGCTATAGGAATTTTGCTTCTATGGCTTGAAAGAGAAATTAGACTAGCCAATGTGGACCAGAGGTTTTCCACAACACTTAAGGTTTGGTTGGTTGGGGTTTTTTTTTTTTAAATGAAGTTGATAGAAGTCATTCATGCCCTTTTTCAGGACCTAACATGCTGAAAATAGATTGAAGAATGTGGATCTAAGCCAGATCTTAGCAGGAATTGGAAAATAATTACAGAATTATATAGGTCATATTCTACACTTATACTAGCTCAGGTAAATGCCTTATACAATCAAATGCAGTCTACTTCCTGAACACAAGGTAAAGGCAAGAAAGTCACCTCCCATTTCTCTGTGCCCAAAGACTACGAATTACAAAAGTTTACCTGATGGTTATTAAAATAATCCACAGACATTTTACCTGATGGTTATTAAAATCACCCACAGGCATGTTTATGGAGGAAATTTACATCACTCAACTGTAGGCTTAGTTTGCTTATATAGTGCAGAGGCTTTGTGATCAGTGGATAGAAAGAACAGCTCCTCAGGATGATGAGTCAAAATTCCTAAATTAACCCCTTGCTCTTTACCACCTTCCTTCTCTCCCACTAGAAACTCAGGGAAACCAGGTGGATAAATAAGGTACCTACAATGGTATTCAACGACTAATGACCCCGTCTACTCTTAGTATTTCCCATCAGTTTTTATACATGAGTACTGAATTCTGGCCATGACAAAGTAATCAAAAGCACACACGCTTGATTGAAAGTACAGGTGTTCAGAAGCAGTAATTTACTGAGCCCTTGACATTTTCAAGGAAGTCTTTAGAAGCTCAGTATCTCTAAAACTTTGTACTTACACATAGATCTTTGAACAGTTTTAGCTCAAGCCCCTTTCAGTCTGAAACCAGTGCTCTTTAAATGGATACTTGAGTTTTCTACCCAAACTGCAAAAGGGGGCTTGGTTACCCCATTGGACAGTACGTACTGAAACGCAAATCCCTGTTCTGTTAGCATTCAGGAAGTGTCTGGTAGCATGTAGGCATGAGGCAAGAAATGCAGGTCACAGCATGTTACAGTAAATTCCTCTCTGATGCAGGATCTCTACTGTAACAAGGTCATAGCTGTAAGAGCAGAGGTTGAAGTAGTTAACCATAAAAATAGAAATTTGAAATAAAATGTCCTTGCAGGATAAGACCAAATGTAGGGAATTTTGTCCAAAAAAGCCCCTCATGCTGTGGAGCCATGGCTGCCTGTGAATTTGTGGTAGATGACATGCAGAAATACCTGTAAGAACAGGAATACTGAGATCTGCCCTAAGGAGATAAGTTTTAAAATGTATATTAGAAACATAAAGTTCATAACCAGGGGAAAAAACACATTAATTGTGGTGGAGTGTGCTGTAGATAATGCTGTTTAAGAGCCATTTGGGTTTTGTTGTTCTTGTTACTTATACAGTGGACTACATGACAGAGGAATTCATAAGAAAATAAAATTTCAGTGTGCTCAACAGATAGAAGCTACCTTGCGAGTGTGCACCACATCTAAGTAAACATATTTTTAAATGGGCAGATAAGCTCCTTTTAACTCTCAGATGAGGGATTACCAATAAACTACTCTTACTGAATGAGCTGAGCTGAACTACAGACAGCATCTCTCAGCATTTGGACACTGCCAAGTGGAACAGAAATAGCCAGAGGAACAACTTCTGGGTAGTGTCATCAGCACTTCAGAAGCAATTTAACTCACAGGAAGCTCTCCAAGATTGCACTGCTTTTTTTGCTCTCCCCTCCTTTAATGTTACAAAGAAGTATGAAAAAAAAAAAGTGTATGAAATACTACTATACTCCCATAAAATGCAAATAACTTTGTTAGAGCTGTAAATTTGATTGTCCATCTTTTTAATATAGAAATTCTATAGAGTAACTCTCATGACTTAAATTGAGAGTCATTACTCTGTAAGAATCTAGTAGTTCTTTTTTAGAACTGTTTCCATGTACTTGACATTAATATCTTTACTAATGTACTATAAGATTTGATGCCTTTTTGCAAAAAGAAATAAAGCTTGCAAAAATCTGTACACGATAAAAATTATTTTGACTTTACTGTGTAAAGTCTGTGTAATTTGAAGGTTAAGCTTGTGATTTCAAGGTTTCAAATGTTATTATCACAAGTTGTTTAAGCCCCCAAAATACAAGCAGCTGCACAACTCTGTTACACCACAAACTGGGGAGCTCTTCCTTTTGATAGAAATAATGACTGTAATTCTTGGCAACAGTTTTCTAGCTTGTGAAAGTTCCAACTATTTCTTTTATTCTTAACTCTAAAGTATAAAAAAATTCTCAATAAGTAGATCTTCAAAACTGTCAAAATTACTTAGGAGCTTACGTTCCACTAAAAGTCAGTGGAGCATAAGGTCCAGTTTTGTACTGGGGGGCGGGGAGGGGTCCTTGCTTTTTTAATCGGACTTCAGTACAGGCAAGGGCAAGACTAGAACAGAAAACAATTTGAATTTTCTCCAATTATGCATCTTTTCCATTCTGCATCAATATGCAACCAAAGCGCATTTAATACTTCTAACAAAAACGTCAAGAAAGAAGCAGCTCAGATTAGCTCGTATAACTAGAATAGCCTCATGGATAGACCGTTGAAGTGTGAACTGACTTTCATATCTGTGAATGATCCACAGCAACAACTGGAAACCTTGTATGTTATTTGAGTTTCCCAACTATTGGGAATTTCAGCTATTCTGTGTGCGCACTTTGTGGCAACAAATTCCATTATGAAGCTGCAAAGCCATAAAAACAGAAAATGCCCAAGGGTCTCATACAACTTTAAGTAGCGAGAGCTGGAATATGCCTGCCACCTCCACACTTAATGATACAAACTACTAACACTCACAGTAGCAAAAATCTTGAAAGAGTCCGTTCAAACTCAACGTGCCACAGTGTGCAACATGTATTTTGACAGTCTGTAGTTTTTTCCATATGCTAATAGTACTGTCAAGTTCCAACCAAATTTCTACAAAAGACAAAATAAAAAAAATATTTAATGACTTACTTATATCTTATTTGGGTAATTACCTGTACCTCCTCTGCACTGATCCCAAGGAACACTTCTTCTCAGATGAGGAAATTATAATTAAATGAGAAGCGGGGAAGGGAGAATTTACACATTTTCGGTAGGTGAAATTA